CACACACACACACACACACACACACACACACACACACACACTATTATGTATGTTTATTGCTGCCTGTATTACAACTTCTTCGTCCACACTTTTCTGTCTATAATGTTCGCAGCCTTTTTCCGTATTGACATAGTTGTGGTTCACTACTTCGTGCCATGTCACTGTCCACCGCTGCTGTTTGTTGTCGTTCTGACCCGCACTTGTGAACCGCCATCTGTCGTTGCGTCTTTCCCTGTCCAACAGCATAAGGTTCACTACTACGGGCCAAATATCTGTCTCGCATGAGATGTTTGTTGGAGTTCTGGCCCGCGGTAGTGAACCTCTCGGTGGTGCTGCGTCTTTGCGTTTCCAACTACTTGTGGTTCACTACTGCGTGCCATATCAGTGTCAACCGGTGCTGTTTGTTGTCGTTCTGGCCCGCAGTAGTGAACCGCGCTCTGTCGCTGCGTCTTTTCCTGTCCAACAACATGAGGTTCACTACTGCGGGCCAATGCCTGTCTCGCATGAGATATTTGTTGGAGTTCTGGCCCGCAGTAGTGAACCTCTCAATCGTGCTGCGTCTTTGCGTTTCCAACTACTTGTCATTCACTACTGCGTGTCATATCAGTGTCAACCGGTGTTGTTTGTTGTCGTTCTGGCCCGCAGTAGTGAACCGCTCTCTGTCGCTGCGTCTTTCCCTGTCCAACATCATGAGGTTCACTACTGCGGGCCAATGCCTGTCTCACATGAGATGTTTGTTGGAGTTCTGGACCGCGGTAGTGAACCTCTCTCTCTCTCAGACACACACACACACACACACACACACACACACACACACACACACACACACACTATGATGTGTGTTTAAGTGCTGACTGTATTATTACTTTCTGCTTAGAGTAAATTTATGTCCAAAATGTTAGCTGCTTTTTGCCTCACGACACACAAGTGGTTCACTACTGCGTGCCATATCAGTGTCCACTGGTGTTGTTTGTTGTCCTTCTGGTCCGCACTAGTGAACCTCTCTCTCTCTCTCTTTCTCTCTCTCTCTCTGGTGAGGGGGGCATGTCGCGGCTACGTGTTCTCATAAATGTATGTGGTGTCTCATGCAATAGATGGAACTCGTGATTGCATCGACTATCAACGGTGGACAGACATGCGCCATGGAGATGGAGGACATTCTGAAAGGTTTTGCAGATGGCAGCAAGGAAGGGAATTCGGCAGGAGGGAACAACGCAGACTGTGCAGAGGTGCTTGCGACAATATGTGCACAGACTGCAGAGATGATGGGTGATGGTGATGAAACAGAGAATGATGCAGGAGGGAGCACTTGTGAAACGAAAACGGTTGGGGAAGAGAGAGAGGAGGGAGGTATGGGAAGCACAAAATCTGTGACAGGGTGTATTGTGAAAGATGAAAATGTGGTGAAGACATCAGCAGGAGAAGAGTACCCATATGACATCAATTGGGTGCCAGGTCGTGTTCAACCGGGTATTGTTGGAGGAACACCCTGCTTTGCGTTCAAAGTCGAAGGGACATGGGTTTCATTTCCTGCCCCCAAAAAGAATACATGGTAAAACGTGACTCTGACAATCGTGTTTGACAGACTATTAAGGTTGAACGACGGGGCAACAATAGAGGTGAAAGCACGATATGCAATGGACGTGTGGCGTGTTCTAGAGGCGCAAGGCGAGTTCAGGCTGAACGATTTTTTGTACGACAGTTTTGATTGCGGAAAGACATGGGTGATTGGTGGGAACGACGCAACAGGGAGTACGGCGTGCGACGAGAGCGATGCGAGGAGGGATCCTAGGTGGGGTTGGGTGCCATGTGTGATCCCGATTCCATGTGGCCGTGTGAGGATGGTCCCAGGATGTTTGCATCCTGCAGTGGTTGATGGCAAGGTGACGATGGCAGCAAGACTGCAATCAGGGCATTGGCTCCCATTGGGATGGATGCATGCAGGCATTGTGGATCATTGGCAGTTCCTCGTGGTTCTGGCACGTGTCTCAATTTTCAATGTGAATGTAAAGGACCACGTCCTGGTGGTTGAACATGCAAAGCGGTGCCTGGAGAAGATAAGGGAGGAGGAGCGCCAGATGGTGTGCGCGGGTTATGACTCCATGGATGACTAGGGGATGTGGCCCATGGTTGAGGGGAGTTGTACGGCCCAAAAGCACGGCGACGGTGAGAACAGATACATGGCTCGCATTCGCCGTAGGCACGGGTGCACAACCGTTTTTGGTTGGGTCCCGCTCGTATGTCCCATGACATATGAGCATGGTGGAGATGTCACAATGAGATTCAGAGACCCGCTTGGTGTGCCTTTCCATCTGACCTACTAAGATGGACTCCTGCGAGACATTCGGTACATGCCGAAGGATGGCTTGCCTGGTTCAGCGCAGACAGGCAAGAGGACAGAGAAACGCTCAGAAATTTCCCGTTTGTCTGTTGAGGTGGAGGGCCCATGTGGTCCTGGTCGCGTCGGGGGGTGCTTTGCAGCACAGGGTGACATGGGCGGGCCGAGTGATGTCGCGATGTCGCAAAGCCCGGGGAAGAAGAAGAAGTGCACGCCGGGACCGCCACGTGGGAAGACGCCCGCAGGCAGAAAGAAGGTGAACCCGAAGGCGGTGTCAGGGACCGGAGATACCGCAGGTGCACGAACTCAAGTCCCCTGACGCCGTCGACGCCCCGGGATGACAACTTTGTCGAAAATCCGAAAGTTGCAACGATCCACTGACCTTTGCTTGGCTTTCAGGCCGTTCTTGCGTCTCGCGCGCGAGGTTGTTGAGCGAGACATTGCTCCGGGTATGGGCGTGAGGTTTCAGATGACGGCGGTGCATGCTTTGATGGAGGCTGTCGAGGCGTACCTGGTCGCCAATTTCGAGAACACCAACGAGGTGGCCATCCATTCGAAGAGGATGACGATCCAGGTCAGGGACATGAGACTGTTGGATAGGTTGTCGAAGCCTCGCTGGGTTGAGAAATATCAAGGTATGTTGGACAAGAAGGCGAGAGCTGAGGAGAGACAGGAACGGATGGACGCCAGACAGGCAGAAAGGGATGGCAGCAGAGCAGGGGCGAAGAAGAGGAAAGCAGTGCCACATAAGGGGGTGTCCGCGAAAAAAAAGGCAGCTTGATAATTCTACGGTGTGTGCTATATAACGGTTGTCCTGTCGAATCGTGGACTCCGTGGAAGTCTTCGTGGTGTTACGTGGGTTGAATAGGTGGAGAGAGAGAGAGAGAGAGAGAGAGAGAGAGAGAGAGAGAGAGAGAGAGAGAGAGAGAGAGAGAG